GGGAAGAGAAGAAAAAAACTGTCCTTAGCCATAGATTTGCATACATGATCTTCAATAACAATTTTGAACTGTCAGAACATTTAATGGATGTGTCACATTTATGTCACCAACCCCATTGTGTGAACCCTGGGCACCTATCTTATGAACCACATCATGTGAATATGGACCGACAAGTTTGCAGTGGAATTTATCCACTGCGCTGTAAAAAGCACGAACCGTACAAAGACTGCATGTTATAAAATCTGTAAAGGTAGAAATAAAAGTAAAATTAACAATCCATATACAGAATATTCAATATTTACAAGTAATTTTATACAATCAAACAGGGCATGCTGAAAATTAATGCTTTCTGGGTTGTCGCTTTGGATATGACTTGTCATGGGTAACACACATTCTTTTCATACAATTTTTATCATAATTTGGATCAGCCATGCCTTTGCGATAAAATACAGGCTGCGAATAATGTATCGAAGCATGCAAACGATACTTTCTGTTTCGACTGATTGCACGTTTCAACTTTGCAACATGACTGCGTCGATATTTGTACATGTATAATTCATGCCTATCTCTCTGTTTCAGATTCATGAGTACTTTTGGTGCTGTGATTTTAACACCAAGCTCTTCAGTGAGCAGGAGAAGAGAATTTGCAAATCTATGATTTCTCATGTGAACTGCAGCATGTGCACGTCCTGGGAAGTTTCTGGAAAAAGTCACATTCTTCGGATTGCAACGACTTAGTGCACGATTGAAAGCTTCACTTTTTTGTGTCGAGGTAAGAAACCGTACAATATTTAAACTATTGGTACCGAGTAAAATTCTTATACAGTTTTCAACTTTGACTTCATCATCACATGTCATTCTACATGTGCTACCGTTTGGAATAAAATTCTTTATCCAATGATTTGAAGGCAAACCAGCACACACATAGGAGTTAACCTTACAAGAGGATCCACAATAACCTTTTTAATTACTTCAGGCATGTGCTGCTTAACTTTATACAGTTCACCCTGATGCACAGTAAAGCTTTGATTTAATTCTGCAACACACCTTGCTTTAATATCAAGTGCAAATCTATTCTTGAGATTGGCCTTCTTTGCACCAGAAAAAAGATCCGGACTAAATGTGCACCTTGTAATAGCCCGTTTCATAGTTGCTGATAAATGTCGAACATCACGAAGTGCTTCAACATTGATACCGTGAACTTGTTTGACACCTTGATATGATTTACTATCACCATCAGTTGTTATATGGGAGATTTTCAAGTAATCACTGATCTCGGTTGCACAAGAACTACTGTATACTGCCTCATTACCAATGGAGGCATCTTCAGCTATATTTGCTGTGCACACACCTCCATGATTTGGACATATAATTTCAATACCCTTCCCTCTCAACCTAGTAGCAACACTACAGAGTTTATTACCCGTAAATAGTGACACAATTTGTTTGGTCGAAGTATTATTTTCCGACATTGTGCACACAACCTGAGTACCAGCTTGAAACGGTGTAGTGCCGCTATTTATGAAAGGGTTGTTATAGCGACAGTCCGATTCAACTCTTACAAGTTTTTCATTAGATAGACCACATAATTTATTTTCCTCAACCAAATTTCTCCTTATGTCTTGCATACTTGCTTTATTCAATTCCTCTACCTGTTTTGCAACTTTGTTTGCAGTCTTTTGCATGCCAGATGAGGAAGGTGGAACCATATTAGAAATCATAAGAATGTCTCTAAAGTTTTTATTTGAGATCGGGGAAGTTATCAGACCACACTGAATCTGAATATTCAGCTTTGCTGACTTTGGACCTCTTTTGTTTGTTTCAACAACATCATACAATCTGTAATATTTGCTAACAAAATCACATTTTTGGCATTTTAGCCTTTCACGCCAAACGCAACCCCACTGTTTTTCATTTTCTACATCAAATTTTAAGTCACCTTCACAATCTGAGTTATAAAGTATATGGTTTCTAATTTCAGAATTGAAAAGTGATTCTACATGTTTAGGAGTGTACAATTTATTGGGACAAGCATCAGAAGAGTTATTAGCAGCCTGAAGGTACTTGTCAACTACATCAAGATTCTGGGGCTTTGGCCGAAGGATGACCTGTTCGACAGGAGTTCCATCAACATTTTCAATTGTCAATATACCATTTGAACTTTGTCTTACTCTGCGGTCAAAGACACTTTGAGAATGCCGACAAAACTGATTTTTCTTAGATATTTTGATAAATTCAATTTTTTTACCTTTATTCCAAGGGACATAACCCTTTTTGAAACCATGAATTTTTGACAACTTACTTCTTTTGCGAGTCATTATTCCCCTTAAAACTGCTTGAACTGACTTCTTCTGCTTGTCAAACTATTACTCTCCAATAAAAACCATTAGAATATGTACAATATTTTATTTTTTAACAATTATAGCCTTAAATTAGACCCCTACCTCTGTTCTGATACATGGTTTAGAATTTATACCTGCTGAGGCAAATACATCCTGAGAGCTGATTATTAATTGGATTTAAAGTGACATATGGTAGTTTAATCTCAAGATAAATTATTCTTTCCATTTAACAACTTTTTATTTAAACAAAAATAGTTGATTGGCAATAAAATTGGCATAAGATCTGGAACTTTAACATTTTTTAACAAAAATTTCAAATTAAAATCAATTTAATTTAAATTTAAAAGATATATTTTTAGAATTTTATTGGCTAGTTTGATGAGGTAAGGCATACGGTGAGCTAATAATGAGAAAAAATTACACTTTAAACCTTTTTAGATATTCAATTTTGATGATCAATGTGTCTGGTGAACTACCCAATTTTAAAGACTTTTGTAATGAGAATCAGCAGAAATTGGGGACTTAGTTTTTTCAATTTTTTTCAGTAACCGTCTAATATAAACAAGTGAAATTTTAAAAACATACTCAGAAATGATTGTGGAACATGACTGATGCATTGAAATCCTGTTATTTGAGCAAAAGTGCTGTTATAGGTATAGAACCACTAATTCGGGCCCGGTCTGAAAGAACATACAAGAAAGTAGTACATATTTCAAACAAAATAGTTCCTACGCATAGCTGTAACTTTTAAAATTTGTAAAATATCTGGGTAATTTTGGTATCAAATGAAAGCTTAATGACTGTGGACCATTGTAGAACCTTTGTGGAATGATTATATCAAATAATAAAAAAGTTTTATGAAATTGAAACAGGAGGGCATTTATTGCCTGATTCTCAGATCTGCAGTACCTGTTTTTGTACTTCCGAACTTCCGGGAACCAGTGCGGTCTTATATGCAATTAAAGGTATGATGATTTTTCCAGCAAGGGTAACCAGAAAGTATTGTTTTGACATGGAATGAGTGTCACTTTATTTGAACTTAAAACGAAAGAGCTGTGAAAGCTTGAAATTAAGGAATTTAACATAGAAAGCAATGGGACCATTAATTAGTGGTTTTATTCCTTAAAAGTGGCGTTAAAACACCAAAAACCAATCAAATCGACTCAACAGTTATGCCATAACAACGGACATCGAAAAAGCTTTTATACACGTTGGACTACACGAAGACGACAGGGATGTCATCTGTTTTCTATGTCTAAGCAATCCATCAGATCCTGATAGCCATTTGATTGAATACAGATTTAATTAGGTACTATTTGGAGCAACTTGGTCACTTTTCATTCTAAATGCCACGTTTTGAAAACGTTGACAGCAAATCGACAATATAACAACGAAATTATTAGAAAGGGATTTGTATGTTGACAACATATTGTCTAGCTTAAACACAAGAGATGACGCCATTGTTCATTTCAAAGCAACTCGTACATTAATGAAAAAGCTGGATCTAATCTCAGAGAGTTGACTTCAGAAAACTTACTCGATACAGATGAAGAAACAGAGATTTTGGAAATGAAACAACGAGAAAATAGTAACCAAGCGTGAACTTTTAAACATTCCTCACGAATTTATTACCCTCTCGGACTGTTAAGTCCAGTAACAATTAGAAATAAATTACTGTTACTTTTCTTAAACAGTTTTACGCTTGACGAATGCAAGCTTGATAACGTCTCCTCACTCATTGGGACGTCGCTGATAACTTTTCCTCAGACATTGTGACGTAGCTGATAATGCATGTTCTTGTCTCAAAGCCGTGATATTAGAATTATGGAGAGCCTGATTAGTGTGACATAGGTGTAGGGAAGGACGAAAAAGCACTGTACATTGTTCTTGTTTTGATAATAATTGCGTTGATGAAGTACACAGTTACATATTACTTAGTATCTGCCTCACTAAAAATTTTAAATATGCGCTAATCATAATTACGGATATAGCATCCTATTTTGTAACACCTCAATTTTTACGGCAAAATAAGGCCCTAAGCACACATGTCTTTTGTTCCATTCGCGACTCTTTCACCATTGGTAGTCCAAAGATTACCTATCGAGACTGTAACTTTGTAGAACCTTCACATTTAATATACTGTTTAAGTTGTTTAAGTTTGTTTTTCTTAATGACATAATACAAATTCTTCATAAGTGCATTTATCCCCTTTCCCAAAAAAACTGACTTACTCTGAATTTTCACCCCATTCACACTGTTGTTTATGAGAAAAAATGAAAAGGGAGTTTTTATGAAATATAAATGATCTACGCAATTCTGCATGCGCTCATCTACAAAACCCTATGGTTTTACTTAATGTTATAACACAACAATTACATTGCAGATTTTTGAATGTAATAGTTGTTTTTGTTTGCATTATAAGCATTATTAGCTTAGAATATATTGAACAATATCTCTAAAGAAGAACATGAACTTGTTTCTTCATTTGAAGATCATATAAAAAAAATCTCCGGATCAAGTATATAGATGTTTCTTCTATTTTGTAAAGTGAAGTGGTGAGGCAAGATGTTGATAAATATAAATCATTGTGAAAGGAATATCAGACTAAGGTAAAGTATTTATGTATATAGCACTAGGTAATTTTGAAAGTTATAGTACCTGTTTTACATTCGGTTTCGTCCAGAGCTATTACTTCTGTAGTTGGACGATTTTCAATTGATGATCTATTTTTCATTTCTTCTAAAATTGTTTTTTCCATACTGTCGATCCGATGAAGTATCTTTGAGTCATTCTAAAAAATATACTCGATATTATGCGTAGCGTTTACGACTATGTGTGTCAATTCGCTTGGATATTGTCATATAACTCAAAAATTGAAACTCTGCTAACATCCATGATATACCAATGCAAACATTTGTCGACATAAAAAACATATATGAGTAGTGGAAAAAGGCTGATTCTGCGGCACTTTCATTTTCAAGGTAAAATCTAGATTTTTACCATGTAAACGGACCAGCATCCCAATAAGCCTAAGGGTAGAAAAAAAAATATGACTTTTTGTAAACGATTGAAGAGACACCTTAAAGGGGATGTAATCCTAAGGAAAGAAATAAAAATGGCTTTTACAAACAATTGTACAGACACCACAAAGGACCGTGTTGCTACAAGTGAGATGGATGAAATTGAAATAAATAATGAGTTGGCATCCAATAGTGTTGATATGAATATGGATCAGTTCAAAGATTTCTTTCTTGAGAATGAAGAACCCAAAACTTGTGGTGCTCCACTGAAAAGGAAGAAGGGGCAGTTTTGCAACAGTAAACCGGGGAAAGATGGGCTCTGTTGGAGACTCAGTAAAGAACCACGCCAGCAGGAGGATGAGGATACCCCAGTTGGAGGGAAGATCGTGGTGAAAGATACCATGAAGGAGCTTCGACAAACCGCGAAGAAGGAGGGTCTGAAAGGGTATAGCAGGCTCTCCAAGGGGAAATTGGTGAAGTTAATCGAGGACAAAACCGCCCATAAATGTACCCGCGAAGAGGGTTTTACCAAGAAGAAGCTGAGGACCATCGCCAAAAGACGTGGTTTCACCAAGTACTCCCGACTAGTGAGAGCTGACCTGGTCGAACTGGTGAAGAAGGTCATTGAAAATGCACCCGTCGAAGAGGAAATCAAAATTGTCGACCGACGCGATGCATTGAAAGGTGTATTTGGCACAGTCACCATTGAACCACTCAAGCAGCATGATTTGGAGACGTTTTTCCAGATAAGTCGCAACACCATCACAAACACAATCGAAGATGCCCTCGTCCAAAAGAAGGTACAGCTAGTGGTGAGATTGGAATTGGTCAGAACGAACCCAGCGATCGGAGATAGCACATACGCCACCCCATCCTTCAGATCATTTGTGGTAACAATAACCGAATCAACGGACCTAGATTTCGAGATTCCGGTCATGGTGGCGAAGATCAAGGAGAGTATGGCAAACTATATGCGTGAGGGTAGTGGGTGGGTATTTGATCACATCGAGCATCTTGAAATCCACCTGAACAAATTTAAACCACTTGCCGGCAGCTCCTACATACCACTCCTATCGGAGCTTGCCAGGAGGAAAGCAATCATCAATGAGCAAAACAAGGATGATCAATGCTTTCGCTGGGCTATTCTCTCAGCCCTACATCACGAAGAAGTGGACAAAAATTGCACCAAGCGGGTAGGTCAGTACAAGAAGTGGGAAAACGAGCTCAAGTTCGACGGCATTGAGTTACCGGTCTCCCTCAAGGCGATCGACAAATTCGAGACCCGGAATGCGAACCTCAACATCAACGTCTTCGGCTTTGATGCCGTGAAGAAAGGCGAAGATGAAGAGGAGGATCTCAAACTATATCCCCTGAGAATATCGAAGAACACCGGCGCGCAACATGTAGACCTCCTGTTCCTGACCGACACTAACAAACAGCACTACTGCTGGATCAAGAGCATATCACGACTCTTGAGCTCGCAAGTTACAGAGCATGGTCATGAGCTTTTCTTTTGCCGCAGGTGTCTGTGCAACTTTTCCAGACAAGACATCTTGGACGATCATATGGAATACTGCGGTCAGAAGAAGGCGGTCAGAATTGAGATGCCGGAAGCAGGAACCCCCGTCAGCTTCCAAAATCACAAACGTCAGATGAGGGTTCCATTCATCATCTACGCAGACTTTGAGTGCTTTACGGAAAAGATGGACACCTGTCAGCCCAATTTATCGAGAGCCTACACGAAGGCGTATCAGCTACACCAGCCATCAGGGTTCTGCTACCGTGTGAAATACGTCCACGGCGACTACACAGATTTAGTCGTCTACTGTGGGGAGGATGCGGCCAAGCACTTCGTCGAATGTATGGAGAAGGAAGTTTCGGGAAATCGGTAAAATCTATGGTAAAGAGCGTACGATGGTGATGACCGACAACGACAAGGAGAGTTTTACAGCGAGCACACACTGTCACATTTGCGACGAGGCATTGGATATGGACAAGGTTTGCGACCACGATCACCTCACGGGTAAGTATCGTGGTGCAGCACACAGAAAGTGCAACCTAGCATTCAAACTTCCCATCTTTGTTCCCATCGTGTTTCATAATCTCAGCAAATATGACGCGCATCTGTTCGTGAAGGAATTACGATTCGGGGAAGGGAAGCTCAACTGCATCCCAAGCACAGACGAAACCTACATCAGCTTCTCAAAGAAGGTGGATAAGACCCTGGAGATGAGGTTCATCGACTCATGCAGGTTTATGCCCAACTCCCTTGAAACCTTGGCGGGAAATCTTACGACGGACAAGTTCAAGGCAACACAGAAATGCTTCGGCGAACGCTCAGAACTGATGATCAGGAAGGGAGTGTACCCCTACGATTACATGGATGGACCTACCAAGCTAGAGGAAACACAACTTCCACCCAAGGAGTTTTTCAGCAAACTCAACGGCACAGATATCAGTGACGATGACTATGAGCACGCCCAGCAGGTGTTCAAGGAATTTGGCTGTCAGACGATGCGGGACTATCACAATCTCTACCTGGAAAGTGATGTAGCCATACTGGAGGATGTCTTCGAGAATTTTAGGGATATCTGTATGGTAAACTACAAGCTTGATCCCGCACACTACTTCACAGCCCCGGACTCGCTTACGACGCGGCGCTAAAATTCACCAGGGTCCGTTTGGAACTCCTCTCAGACCCAGACATGCTGATGATGTTTGAGAATGCGACTAGGGGAGGCGTGGCTATGGTCTCCCATCGATATGGAAAGGCCAACAATTCCATACATGACCAACTACGATGCGGCGCAACCCATCAAGTACCTGGCCTACCTGGACGCCAACAACCTGTACGGCTGGGCCATGGCAGAACCCTTACCCACGGGAGATTTTGAATGGATGAAGCCGGAGGAGATCGACCAAATCCTAGACTACCCAGACGATCACGGGCATGGGGCTATGGTGGAATGTGACCTAGAGTATCATCAAGAGCTCCACGATGATCACAACAACTACCCTCTGGCGCCTGAAAATGTGGAGATCGAGAAGGTGCACAAACTGACACCTCATCTGAACAAGCGCGTCAAGTACACCCTCCACCATCGAAACCTCAAGATGTACATGGCGCGGGGGATGAAGCTCACCAAGGTCCATCGCACCATTGGATTCAGACAATCAGCGTGGCTCAAACCGTACATCGACAAAAACACCGGACTCAGGGCTGTGGCCAAGAACGACGCCGAAAAGGATTTCTTCAGCTGATGAATAACTCAATGTTTTTCAAAACCATGGAGAACATCCGCAAGAGGATCGATGTCCGACTGGTCACCACTGAGAAACAAGCACTGAAGCTTGTAGCCAAACCCAATTTCGATCGAAGGGTTGTGTTTCACGAGAAACTGGTAGCCGTCCACATGAAGAGGACCAAACTCAAGTTCGACAAACCCATCTTCTTGGGGGCGTGCATCCTGGACATCTCAAAGATCCTTATGTACGACTTCCACTACAATTTCATGCGGAAGACGTACGGTGACAACGCGCGCCTACTTTTTACAGACACTGACAGTTTAGCCTATGAGTACACAACAGCTGATTTTTACAAGGACATCACCCCCACATCCGGTCACCCCTAGGGAATTCCAGTAGATGTGAACAAGAAGGTGATTGGTATGTTCAAAGACGAGTGTGGTGGTAAGAGTATGACTGAATTGTTGGGGCTCCGACCCAAGTTATACTCTTACAACATGGATAATGGTGGCACCATCAAGAGAGCAAAGGGGGTCAAGAGGAATGTGATTGAACGCAACATCACATTCGATGAGTATAAGAGATGTCTAGACACCCAGCAAGAGATTCACAAGTCAATGAATATCATCCACAGTCACCACCATCAGATCTACACCCAGGAAATTAACAAAGTCGCTCCCTCAGCCAAAGATACCAAGCGACACATTCTCCCCGACGGAATAAGCACCCTTGATCACGGACATTATAAAATCGAGGAGCAACACTGCCTGCTATAAATAAAGTATGGGTAAAACTCAGAAAAGAATGAAATACCTCGAAGTGCACAATTAAGTTCTTCCCCACAAGCCTCTGTCGAATAAGGAATTGGAGAGAGCCGTCACAGCCCTAAGAATCCCAAGTTGCAGAGGGGTGTTTATGCGAGATACCCTACCACCCAGCCCGCGCCGCATCGAATGTGGAATCTTGAATCACGATAGCTGGGAGGGTCCTGGAACGCATTGGACTTTCTGGTATAAACGTGGACCGGTAAAGTATTACTTCGACTCTTATGGATTACCACCACCTGCAGAGATGGTGAACTACTTACAGCCTGAAATTCGTTATAGCACAGATGAGTTACAGCAGCGAGGCTCGGTGGTGTGTGGTTACTTTTGCCTATTTGTGTTGAAAGTGTTGGCGACTGGAAAATCGCTGGAAGATACAATTTTCTCACTCTATAAATAAATGGATAAGTTTAGATCTCATGCAAGAAAGCGCGCATCCCTTTGGTGAATGCTGCAGGATTTGGATATGAATATATAGATGGGCGGCTGCGTACCCAAAACTTGGGAGACGGTAAACACCTCTTCAGTCCACCGGGTGTGTAACCCTTCTCAAATGTGCCTTTCTTCTTAGTGATTCGAACCTTATCACCTATACGAAACCGTGCCTGCTGTATGGGAGGGAGGTCTCCATACAAATTCCAATACACCTTGTTTTCATGTTCCTTGAGGCTTTCAAGCACAGGAGTCATTTTAATGGAACT